CTCTATGGAAGTGATCATGTTCTTATCATCTGCCTGTAGATGTATCTAAAATGTATATTTTTGCAGATTGTTACTTTACCTTGAAGGCATGGAATGCACAGAACGGTGGAGCAGCAGCTATTCTTGTAGCAGATGACAAGGTTGAACCACTGATTACCATGGACAACCCTGAAGAAGATGATGCAGATGCTGCTTATCTGCAGAACATCACTATCCCCTCAGCACTTATTAGCAAGTCCTTGGGTGACAGTATCAAGAAAGCTCTATCTGATGGAGAGATGGTTAACATGAATCTTGATTGGACAGAGTCTCTTCCACATCCTGATGAACGGGTTGAGTACGAGTTCTGGACAAATAGCAATGATGCGTGCGGGCCAAAATGTGACAGTCAGATTGAGTTTGTCAAGAACTTCAAAGGTGCAGCTCAGATACTCGAGCAGAAGGGTTACACACAGTTCACCCCTCACTACATAACATGGTATTGCCCAGCGGCATTCATTCTGAGCAAACAATGCAAATCCCAGTGCATCAACCATGGGAGGTACTGTGCTCCAGATCCTGAGCAGGATTTTAGCAAAGGGTATGATGGAAAAGATGTTGTAGTACAGAATCTACGCCAAGCTTGCTTTTATAAAGTGGCCAGTGAAAGTAAAAAGCCATGGCTTTGGTGGGACTATGTGACTGATTTTTCAATCCGTTGCCCAATGAAGGACAAGAAATACACCAAAGAGTGTGCAGATCAAGTTATCCAATCCCTTGGTAAGTGATTGGCTATATAATATATGTATTCATGTCCACACTCTGTAGAAAACAACTGCTCTCTACTTGTTGTTTGTCTAGTCAATTTTCCTAAATTTTTTGCATGACGATTTTTTTATAGCTGTTACTACAATGTTCTTGATCTTAAGTTACCTATCATTTTCTTTTGGACGAAATGTTTGTCTGATTCTTCTGTTCAGAATAAGGCTTAGTTAATCCATTTGCTGCTGAATTGACTTCTGATGTTTATCGAGAGCAGAGGAAAAAAAAAGCAGCTTCTGAAAATGGTTGTTTTGCAAGCGTAGGTGTTGATCTTAAGAAGATAGATAAATGCATAGGAGACCCTGAGGCAGATGTGGATAATGAAGTTCTTAAAGCTGAACAAGATACACAGGTTAGGTCCACCAAAATTTAATTGCTCCAAACTGATGTGCTGTCCGTTCCTTTAATGTTCTATTCTTTGGGCAATCAGCTAACTTTCTTTTTTTGGTTTTTGAATTATCTATTCAGATCGGAAAAGGGTCTCGAGGAGACGTGACTATACTTCCAACTCTTGTAGTAAACAACAGGCAATATAGAGGTTTGAATTCAACATTCTTACTCTGATGTTCGGCTTTCTAATTGCTTGATAGTCATTTCCAATCTGTACTTGTTACTGTTTTCAGGTAAGTTGGATAAAGGAGCTGTTCTTAAGGCGATATGTGCGGGTTTTGAAGAGACCACGGAGCCATCCATATGCTTAAGTGAAGGTTATCTATCAGGCTTAATTTTAGTACATTATGTTTCATAACTGCTGGCAGTTACCCATCTGTTCCTGTGCTGGTGTGCTAGTTACTGTGCAGAAAATGTTCAAATTGTTTACCGACACAATGAAAGAGCACATTGCTGCAGTATTGGTTTTTTGGTGAAATGATGGAAGCAATTCCTTTTGAGTAGCAGAATTTATCATGATTAACTATACTCATATTTTCACTGCTGTTTTTTTGATAGACTGTTGTGAGAGGGAAGTCATTATTTGCTAGTTTTCTTTACAGATGTAGAAACCAACGAGTGTCTAGAAAACAATGGTGGGTGCTGGCAGGACAAGGCTACTAACCTTACTGCATGCAAGGTGTCTTCAGAATTTCAACATTTTGTTGGTATTGTGTTTTTGGTGCATTCTTTCATTCTAAGTTTATTTTGGTCCTGGAATTTCATTGTTATAGGATACTTTTCGGGGTAGAGTATGTGAATGTCCTGTGGTTCAGGGGGTGAAGTTTGTTGGTGATGGTTATACTCGCTGTGAAGGTAAATTTTTTTCATGCAATCCTAAGTTTAGTTTTGACTCAAGTTTAGAAACATCTCTGTTTTAATTCTGTGAACATAATTTTTTTGCTTCTTGTTCAACAGCTTCAGGTTCTTTACGTTGTGAAATTAACAATGGAGGATGCTGGAAGAGAACTCAAGATGGCAGGACCTTTTCTGCTTGTGTTGTGAGTCTTGAATTTGATGGGAACTATCCAGCTTGCTGTTTTCTTGCTCACATACTTAATTTAATTGTTTCTAATGTGACTTATTCATTGGTTCTCGGATGGGTTTCAGGAAGATCATTCTCAAGGTTGCAAGTGTCCTCCAGGATTCAAGGGTGATGGAGTAAATTCCTGTGAAGGTACTCTTCCTGCTTTTCTTTGTTATTGTTCCAACATCATACTATTTAGTGGAATGCAGTTTTGCGCGCTCAACTGGGTTATTCGTAATAGCTCCTTGAACTACTATTATTATTTTAAGTTCCAGATGAAGAATTTTCCTCAGTGAAGATTATGCAAGTTTTCATCGGTAAAATATTAGATGAACAAGTTCAAGATTCTGTATTCCAGTTTTATGAAAACACGTTTGATGTAACATGCATGCAGTTTCTTCCAGTCCAACGTGTTTGTGGATCCCATTCATTGAACCTTGTCATCAATAAATAACTCAACAGCTTTGGTTTCTTCTTAGATGATTTGAGGAAATATTTTTCTTTTCTCATTTTAAATTTCCATGCATTTTATCAATAGCACACTGGTTCTTTTCCATCTAGGATATGATTGCACTTGCTTCTTTATAAATTGCAAGCAATATGTCATTTTCTTTTGTTTGTGAGACGAAGTAGATTATGAGGCACTCATCAAACGTTCTCTTTTGGCTGTTTCCCAGATGTGGATGAATGCAAAGACAAGCTGGCCTGCCAGTGTTCAGAATGCAAATGCAAAAATACCTGGGGCAGTTATGACTGCAGTTGCAGTGGTGGTTTATTGTATATGCGAGAACATGACGCGTGCATAAGTGAGTATCCTCTGAGGGTTTTGAATAATCTGCTCTGTTAACCAAACAATCAACTTGCAGCTGTGTGTATGCACAGCATGCTTCGAAGTCCTCATTTTGAGTTTTTCAACTGTGGTGCAATTTTTCATTTTAAATTGGATGCTTTGAAGGGTGTCAATTTCTAGCATGATGAACTGTGTGGTGAAATATGTTTTCAGTTTCATCAATTAACATAGAAGCTCAAATCTTAGTGGAACCTATTTCTAAAACTGGTATATACACCTTGTACCTTATGAAGGTATTGCATATCAGTTCTTCTGTTTTAGCCACTGCACATATCTTAAAAGTAATTTCCAAGTTCAACTCAACTCAAGAGCTGGGACTAATTTTGGTTATTGGCTCTACTTCTATACTAAATGGGATCACTAGCATTCCACAATACATTTGCTTCTGTCATGTTAGCCTCCACAGATTTATGTTTTACAATGATTTAGGTAAAGCTGCTGACACAAAGTACAGCTGGAGCTTTGTTTGGATTATTATTCTTGGCCTGGCTGCTGCTGGTGTTGCTGGATATGCAATTTACAAGTACAGAATCCGGGTATGTATCTTAAATTTTGTCATTCCTTATTTTAGCTTTAATGTAGAAAAACACGCATGTGGCACTTGAGGACCATGCCGAAATACATGACATGCCCAAGCATCATTGAGGACCCAAGTTCCTAGTTGATTTAAATGATGGCGCATCATTCAAAGAAAAAACAGATGCTTGCCTAATGAGTATTTTGAGCATGAAAATGCGCACTCAAACAAATATTATGAATTTGGATTTGGTGGTGTTGAGGTACATCTGAAATTATTGATTAATAGGACTTTTTTTTTTATTTGAACAAAAAAGAAGAAACTTTGGGATTGCTAAATCACCGATGAAATAAAGCAACGGAGCCACCATGGTATTTTGTTTTTCTTAATTCCTTCCAAGGAAAGGGTGGTCATTGTATCATTTACCGACCTAGGCTTGTAGACTCTATTTTTCTTTGGTAAAAGTGAATTCTCTTGGAGAGCCGTATAGTTTTAATGCTAATAACAGTGAACTGAATTTTATCTTTATTAATGTGCACGCAGAGATACATGGATTCAGAGATACGGGCTATCATGGCACAGTATATGCCATTGGATAGTCAAGCAGACATCCCTGTTCATCATGCTCCCCGTGGGGACATCTGAAGGTGAGCTAGTGAGATGATGTGCTGAGGCATCGACTAAAGAAGCAGCATCTCTAAATTTCGAAGTGACCTATCAGCTTCGATTTGGCTTGTAGCTATTTCAGCCAGCACGCTCCCATTTAGTCACACTCGTATATGTAAATTAATATTACAAGTTCTGCATGTAATTCCATGGAACGCAGCAAATTTTCAATTCAATGTAAGAGGCGTTATGGGATTCAAAATTTTAGGCCATCTTGGTTGCATTCCAGTTTCATGCTGCCTAGGTTATCAAGGATTTTTCCCTAGTTTCTAAAACTAATTCAAGCTGTCCTAGTTGAGAGTGATCATAAGCCCTGTGAAGGTGGGCATTTTACATTGTATGGCTTGGATCTTAATAATAACTGTTTTTAGATCAATTGCTCTCCAGAATGTTCAAGGTAGCTAAGAAACTGTTTCGTCTTAGCGTATATTATATACGCCCACGCCCGAATGAAGTAGATTGCACTTGCATACGCTATTAGCTTTATTAGCTACCAATGATTTTAACTGTACACCGGTAACTACAGAACAGTGTCTTCCTACTGTCTAGAAATTATTATATCACTAACTTCTGCGAGGTCCTACCAGGCAAATGATAACAACACTAAAATAGCGTATTGGAGGGAGAAAACAACACGACATATCCGCCAATATAACTAAACAACACGAAATGAACAAATATCAATATAACCCTGTGGCATTGGAGGGAGAAAACACCGGTAATTTCAGCACAGTAAGGGGGAAATATCCGCCAGATTATTGAAACTTTCTCCCATAGCCTAGCAACCCAAACTAAAAGTAGACAAAAAGCCGTAATCAGTAACCCAACACTCCAGAATCAAGCAATGTTTTCTGGGATCCCATCTTTTTTCTTCCAGAGCTTGTAATGTCGTAAACCTTCCACCTGCAGGTCACAGGAGAAGTTAATTTGATCAGCTACAATACAGAACAATGGAAGACCAACTTGGCAGCGAACTTATCATTCTAGGCATAGGTTAACAACAGCAACTTTGAGTATTTTTTTTATTAAAGAAAATGCTGAAAAAGTGGAGATTCATATATGATGAAGTTTGGTATCACGACAACTAATAATATTTGTTCAAGAAAAGGTGAGGGTTGAGAGGGAGGGGAGAAGAACAAGGATAGCATGCAATCCAACTAACCAGTGGAACAAATACATCAATTTTCTGCTCCATGTCCCAAGTCTGACCCCTTACTCTGCTTACCACCCACGGCGATCTTATAGAGATAGAATGCAACCACTGCACCACTGAAATGCAATGCCAGTTATCAGAAAATCAAATGCACACACAACAAGATAAATACCGCTATAAATAAAATGCTTGACATAGATCCTACAAGCATCTGAAAATGGAGATACTCATGTCCTCTACTGTACTAAGATAAGTCCATGTGGTTTTATGACCCAGAGCAAGGCAAGTATGTGCATGACCATGCACGCATGCAGCAAGACAGATTACGGATATGCTGCTTTCAGAAGGTGGCTATGACTAATTAAGATGAAGAAATCAAAATATATGACCTTAACAGTATCAGAAAGTATAAACTGAGAGATGCTACAAGTTAAAAACTTGGCTAGACAGAACCATAACCAATAACAGATCTAGCTTGAGTTCATAGGCATGAGATGAGCAATGGTTCCTGGTCTTGGATTGAGACTACTTATGTTATTGGACCAGTGTAAATTGCCCAATGTTATTTTGTAAGACGGTACATTGTGTATCTTAAGCAAAATTGCACTGGATGGCCTAGGATATTATACATGCAGATACCAATTCTTGTTTCATTTGAGATCAAACAAATTTCATCAAAGGCTGCATGATGCAACTCCTGTGCTGCACTCTTAAGAGAATTGAGTGGCAAATCACAGAACATTTCATCTCAATTTTTAACCTAGAATTTCCTGAACCTTTCAAACCACATCAAAGTTCAAGTGCTCTAGCACCTTGTCTAATTGTTAGTTCAGACTCGAAGAAAATTCTTTTACCAGCGACCCTTCCATCCTAACTACTAAGGTAGAAAAGGAAATATGAGAGCACAAAAAAATTTGGGAACAAGGAACCTGACGAGGGTTGCAACAGGAGTAAAAAATGAAGCTCCCTGCAAAACAAAAAAGTTTAGACTGTTAGAACTTTGAAACATAACAACAAATATGTAATACAGCAGAAAAAACAGGAAAGATGACATGGCTGTTTAAAGAACCCGTACCTGAGTCATCATGATTCTAATGTCCCTAAGAAAGATTATAGCCACTATTGCTGCAGGACCAAACACAATAGTTAAAAACTTTAAGTCAAATATGCAACAGAAGATATGTACAAGAATGGCATGAGTTGTAGAGAATAAAAAAATAAAAACCATGTAAGAAAAAAAATGATCAAGCAATGGCCCGAAATAATAGCTATCCTTTCATCCTGAAGTAGCTCACACACTAATATTATCAGAAAATACTATCAAAATAGTCAGCCTGATGAGTTAGAGCATGGAGGAAAGAATGCCCCAAAGCACTGAACATATGTACTCACAAAACCTAATGGTTAAAATATGCAATAGAAGCAAAAACTTATAGATGAGGAAGAGCTAAGCTAGATACTAAAGCTCTTGTCTACGGTACCTTTTAAATTTTTAACTTAACCCTGGTCTCTCTTTGTTATGAACCTGCAAGTGAATCCAAGCATTTCATCCTTATGCTTTGAGACATTCTACACAAGGTGCATGCTGTTAAATTCATAACTTAACGGTGTCCTTTGTTATGAAATAATAAAAAATTCATAACTTAACGGTGTCCTTTGTTACATATGATACCATATTCCAAAACTTGTCCAAAATGATCCAACTATATAACTAATAAGAAACAGAAAGCAATTTGAGCTTTTTTCTTTTTATATGTCAATGTTTTATTATAGAATAGAACCACATACTAACCTGCCTGTGCTTTCAAGGCCAAGGAATCTGGCTCTCCTCTTTTGTAAGATTTTAAACTTGATACGCTTAAAGCCAGAAGTGCACCACCAAGAATGACACCAAACCTAATGGAATTGATGCTGCCCGACAGCATGAAGGAGAGAAATCCAGTAGTAGCAAGTAATAAACCTGTGAAACATAGCAATAGCATGAAAAACATTGAAGCCATTTAAAATAGAAAATACACTAAAAGGCAACTGCCCAGTTAAGAGTAACCAGTGGGGGTCGGGAGAGACATTTCAACAAAACCTTTCCCAGCTCATCCATATTCAGTTAGCATTATTAAGGGTCGTATGATAGAATAGAGCAGAAGAGCTTGCAACCGTAAATTGACAGTATATTGCAACATTGTTATATCTATCATGTTGTTACTCCTAACAAATTCTAATTTATGAAAGAAACCTCATTCAACAAAATTTTAACAAAATGAGTTCCAGAGGCGCACTAGTCATACCATATGGTATTCCAACTTGGAAATCGCGGACTTTAGAAATATCATTAAAATCATCGGTTGAAGAAGATAACGTTTCCACAACCTCCTTCACTGGTTCCGGAGAATACTCTGTAGCTGCTACAAGATACTCTATACTATCTTCACCAAGTTCCTTTGCTAGCTCACCCAAATCCTTCTTTGCCTTCACTGCTTGAATCTTTAACTTCTCTGAAGTTTCTTCCAAAAAAACCATGGCTTTCTCTGCGTATATCTCATATGCTTCTTGAGAAACACTTTGCAACCTTAAAGCTTGTTCTTTGAAAGATTCTAGTGCCTGCTTCCATGCTTCCTCTGATTCTTCACGCTCTAATTTTTTATCTTCACTTTCCTTTTCCACTTCAATCTCTGAATGCTCCTAAACATTGCCAACAAAAAATAAGAATAAAACAATAAAAGATGATCCAATTACATCTCATTTCAATTCAAACATTGAAAAGAACCCATTATAACAATCTCTCTTGAAATGAAAATTGCAAAGAGAAACAAAAAGCTTTAAAATTTGGCACAAACAAGATGGCATTGCTCTAAATACAAAACCAAATCAAACCATTAAAACTCGATGTTAATCAAACGGCACAGTTTTCTCATGTTCAACAAAAAGCACTAACACCCAACACATGTTCAACATTCAAAGAAGGGAAACCCAATTGGAAAAACACAAAAATCACCCAAAAAGAATTCAAATTTCAAATTTTCAAACGGTAGAGGAAATTAAAAGAATAGGAATTGCAATTCTTACAGAATCCTCGTGAGAGCCAGCAAATACCACAATTTGTCGGTTCAACGAATTCCCAGAACGAAAACCAACGCCAACACCAAGCCCTTTTGGGACAAAAGCCCTTGGATACTCAAAAGACAACCTGTGACCGCTAGGTTTAAGCAATAGAGATTGAAACTTTAAGGATGGAGCAAACAAAGCCATTGAAGAAGATGAACAAAAAGATGGCCTTTTTGTTAGCAAGGAACTACAGCCAGCAGATAACAACTCCATTGACACACTCATTTTCTTCTTTTACCCTTCTTGTTCAGAGAGAGACAGAGAGAAGTCTAGGTTTTTTAAGCGAGAGTCACGAGGGGAAGAAGAGAAACGAGGGTTTTAGCAGTGGGATACAGTTTTCCTACTTCCTTTGCCTTCGGACTAGGAATCGTGTAATGTCTTGGTTACACGTATTTAGAAATGTTTGCATGAAATTTACTCCAGTCCTTATATTCTTATCAATATTTCACTTCTCCCTTCATGTTCATAGATAAGAGTTTTTTGAGTAGAACAATAGAATTATATATATTATCTTCATATATTAATTTAATTATCTTTCTCCTCCAATTCCAATCATTTTCAAGGAGCAAATGCCTTCTGATGTGTAGTTGTTGAAGCAAGTTTTTATAGAATGATATTAAACAAGATAAAAGATTTTGATAACCATCCACCCATATAGAGTTCTCAAAATATTATATTCATAGTAATTTTTAAAATAATGCAATTTGTTTTCTAGCCTTTAATAATTTGAGTTTCTATTATATGGAGATTCATTTAATTTTTTGTTAATGATAGAGTAGCATAAGAAAAAAAAATGACATGAATACTAAAACATCGCGATAATAAGTTTTAGAAATTAATTTATTAATAAATAAAATACATAAAATTTATTTTTAGCTATTTTTCAGTCAATTAATTTCCATAAAATTAATTTTTTAGCTATTTTTCAGTCAATTAATTTCATAAAAAATCACAAAAAAGAGAAGAATCAATATATAGATCCTATTTAACGAATAATAAAGGGGTTTTTTTTAACTAATCTTAGACATCCTACAGCTACAAGAAGTTGAATTTCCTACGTGCTCCATAGCATGTGATGGAGGAGGAGTTTATTTGAAGAAGGGAATAATAGAGAGCGCAGG